TGAGCTGGTGTCAAGTGGCTCTAGCAGGACATGCTTGAAGCATCCAAATGAGTGGCGGGGTGGTGTGCGCTGGTAAAACTTGGCACTCAGCAAGGGGATCCCTCATGGCGGTCCCAAGTTTGAGTCTAGAGACCTCCCTGAGTACACAGGCACGTACGTGTGCACCCGTGACCCGGGCTGCTGAGGCCAGGGGTGGATCGGGGCATTAGGAGCTTGTCAGGGGTGCTGTCTGCCTCTTCCTTTCTCTCCCCTGCATGCACACCCATGAAAGAAGGAAATAAAAATCTTTTATAAATGAATCTGCACCAACCATGGCACTGTGGTTGAAGCAGCTGTACCTCTCATGACTGACAGCATGGTTCAAGTCCTGGACCCAGTGACTTGAAAAACACTCCAGCCGTGTGTGTATGCATGCCCAAAATCCTGAGAGGAAAAGGGATTGCAGCATGACCATCACCCCTGGAGGGAGGGGGTGCTTTCTCTTTCTCTCTCTCTCTGGTAAGCACACGTACCCTATAGCAAAATTTTAAAAAAGGATCCAAATGAACCCAAACATAGTTTGGACAGGGGCTTCCACTTGAGCAAACTTAGCTCATCTCTGGCTGTTAACCCTGCAGCCTAATCATACCGTGATGGAGGGCAGCAGCCCAAGCCAGTCAGCCCACAGCACAGGCCAGACAGTCCAAGGCAGGGTGGTCACTTCTGTGCTCTCATAAGGCTCGAAGGCTCTTAGTCTCACAGAGTAACAGAAAGGCCTCGGGGGATTTCGGGGTCTTTGCTAAACTGTTTGTGATGCAAACTGGCAGTGACCTGCCCACGGACTGGGACTTGCGCCTGCAGAGCAAAGCTGAGACCAGTGATCCTCACCGCGGCCCCCAGCAGCACGGCAGAGGACAGCTGATGGCGGGTGGGGAGCTCAAGGGCAGGTCCTGCTTCCTCTGCCCAGCAGGACGGACCTGCAGCAGCACAGCACAGTCACCACAGGGCCCCTCTGTCCCGCCTCCTTTCTCCGTGCCTTCTTGCCTCTTGGTGGGGGTATTTTGAACACCCTCGTGCCTGGTGCACCACCCCCTCTGTCCCAGTGTGTCTAAACTGTGTGCGTGCAACCATTCAGAAAACAGCACATCGGTGGGTCAGAAAGCAGATTACAAAGCGGGGACAACTTTCTGTAAGGAAACAAGTATGTCCATCTATCTGTAGAAGACAGCCTGGAAGGACACCACACCTTAACAGTGGTGACCTGCCAGTTTAAAAGCACAGCGATCTGAACACCTTTGGGGCTTGTCTGCTCTGCGACCGTGGGCCTGTGTCCCTCTGGCGCTGGGCCCCACCCCTCCCCCCTGTGGCAGACCAGATGAGCTCAGCGTGCTGAGATGGAAAGACGTGACAAAAGCGTCACAAAGACCTTATAATATTTGGGGACCCATGGGGACCAAGAGTTCTTCATTAGAAGTTGCTGGAAGCTGTGGACCTGAGGAACCACAGGTCGATAGGCAGGAAGTCTCCAAGTTCATCCTGGGGAAGCAGTTCCGCCCTGCTCCGAGAGCTCCTGTTTCCAGAACCACTGGGCTTGCCCACAGCTGCTGTCTGAGCAGTGACAGGAAAGCTCTCCCAGACACTGTCCTGCATTTGCTGCGGCCTCCTCCTCGCCCTCTGTGCCTGAACCAACCTCAGGAGGAGGCTCCTGAGCCCCGTACCAGGTCGCATGGCCAAATAACTCAGGGAGAGGTTTACACCCTGCTCCCCTGTCCTCAGAGCTGCCTCCTCACAGCTGTTCTACTAAAACCAGTCTCGTCCGGGTTCCTGTTGCCTGCTACTGTTCCGCCTTTGGGGAAGTGTCCTGTTCAATCTGCCTCTTCCTTCTTGTTTTCCAGTCCGCCCAAACCGACCGTGTTCATCTCTGGTGTCATTGCCCGGGTAAGCTCTTTGTCATCCCTCCAAGGTGTCTGCAGGGGGTGGCGGCCTTTGATCGGATTGCATGAGGTCAAGGGTCAGCGTGGGGTCTCCGATTCCCTCTGTTCTGTAAGACTCTACCTAGAGTAACCAAGCACGCTGTTCATCTAATCCAGGGCCAGCGGCATTCGCGTGGCGTGGGCTCTCGTAGTTAGGAAGGTGTGAGATAGCCAAGCCCACGGCGCGGGCAGAGGGCAGAGGGAGTCTGCATCGCTTCAGAACTGCCTTCCCTTCTCCCTCACCCCCTCCCTCTCCTCAGATGAGCCAGGCAGCAGCAGACTACAACCGGATGACTTATATAGTCATGTAGTTTTCATTTTTATAGAGGGTGCATGCACTTGCCACACAGAGAGGAAGGGAGACAGCACCCCCCAGGGGGACATAGTCACACCAGTCCCCCTCCTCCACTTCTCCATCCTGTCAGGATCGGGAGTGCACACACGCACATGTGCACACACGCTCATGCACACACAGGTACCCAGTATGTTTTTCAAGCTACCGAGGCCAGGATTCGAACTCCATGGTCAACAATGGGAAACCTAGCTCCCTTAATCAGTAGGCCATGGGACTAGTCTCAGGTACTGTTTAAATGAGCCATGAACTGAGAATGGTGTTAAATTTCTAAATGATTAGGGACCAGCAGATGGTGTAATGACTACACTGCCATACCCCCACGTGGTCGATCTCAGTTCAAGTCCCGGACCTGGCAGCTTAAATTCACGCCAGGTGTGTGTTCATGAGTGTGTGCATGCCCAAGATCCCTAGAGCAGAGTGGAGGAGGAGGGATTGCAGCATGGTCATTGCCCTGGGGGGTGATATCTCACATTCTGTCTCTCTCTCTCTGTTTCTCTGGAAAGCGCATGTGCCCTATAGCAAAAATCTCTCTATAAAAAAAAAAAAAAAAAAAAATTAGTGATTAAAATGTCAAAAAAAGAATTGCCACAACCAATGAGGAGAAAGGAGATTGCACTTGGTGCCGTGGATCGAGCCCCTGTGGCTCCCGGCCAGGCCCCCCATTCCACCTTACGGCTGCCCTCGGTGGCCCCCTGACTCGGTGCATGGCTTTGTCACCCCCTTTACCCGCATTTGGTCTGGTCTGACTCACAGACCTTCCACCAGCGAGCTCCACAGGGACACTCGACACTCAGGACACTCCAGTCCCGCACACGGTGTCTGGGGGACACACCATTGCCGACACTCGCTGTTGGTGCTGACACAGCCGTTCAGAGACCCTGGGCAGATGGGCATTGGGCTGCCTGAGAGGGCATTAAAGGCCAGCACAGGCTGAGGGCCCTCCTTGGCTGGGCGGGGAGCAGTCTGGCTCTGGGCTGCCACCGTGGCCGGCTCTGCCCGTCACCTGCCCTGTGAGTTTCCTCCCTCTCCCAGCACCCCAGGCCTGGCCGTGGCTGCCGTGGGGCACATCCGGATTTGAGGGTCTGCCTTTGGCCCTCTCTTGCCCCCAATTCAGTCACCAGAACAGATCTAGCAGAAGTAAGCCACCAACACCCAGCTGGGTTCCCAGGGAGTCGTGTGGTGCCCCCACGGTCACAGTGTAGCAGTCTCACCGTCCTGGTGAGTGGGGCCTCGGCCCCCAGCCCCACGCCCCCTGCCCTCCCCTCAGAGCTTCAGGCGGGCCACCTTCCACCTACCACCCACTCGCAGCCCCACTCACCCTGTCCAGACACGGCCTGTGGCCCAGGTATGTATCGCTGACCGTCCTGTGCGTCTGTGTCTCCCAACAGGGCGACAAAGACTTCCCCCCGGCAGCCGCGCAGGTGGCTCACCAGAAGCCCCACGCGTCCATGGACAAGCACGCGTCTCCGAGGACGCCGCACATCCAGCAGCCTCGCAAGTGAGCCGGCACCCAGCCACCCTCAGCAGCAGCGCCCGCCAACCCTCTTCAGCATCATCGGGCCTTCCTCGTCCCCCCTCACCAGCATCACCCCGACTGAGCGCCAGCCCTCCCACGTCCCCCATCACCGATGTCACCCTGACAGCGCTGGCCCCTCCTCCAAAGTGCTCCTCGCTTGGGAGATCCGAGACCAAGCCAAATGCTCCTCCCTGTGCCTTAAATTTCCGTGTTTTAGACTAGAACTGCTCAAGCCCAGCCTTTGGCTGTCAATCAGGGACCACTGCACTCTCTTACAAGTGCCAGTAGTCGACCGTGCCAAGCCCCGAGTGAGATGAGGCCGTGCCCACTCCGGCA